ATAGACTCTCTACATTACGAACCAAATTAACCGGAATAATAGAGTTGTCAAAAGAAATCTTTGCTTTGATTAAACTAGGTAACAAGCCGTCAAACTCTTTCTCTGAAACAAGTGAATCCTTATAATGTACACATAAATATTTGGTTTGCAACTCCTCAAGTGTAGCACAGCCTGACAGAAGTTTTACAAGTAATTCATGACGTTCGAATCTCATATCCTTTAAATGAAGAATTTTAAGAACCAGAAAATCCACTTGACGAGAAAAACTATTCACTATTGCCCCAATCAACTTAAGAACCTTAAGGGTCTTGCAACTAAGAATACTAGGTGGTAATATGATATTATTTTTAATGTTAAGATTCTCAATTCCTCTATTCGTTAGATAGGAAACAAATAGAGTAACATCAGATTTGTTGCCAACACAAAAATAGTGGGTGCAATTGAAACGAAAGGAAAGGATCGGAAGTCCGATATTTCGTAAGAGCATGAACTTGTGTACAGAATAATCAAAGGCGGCCATGTCTTTGAAGGATTTGCAGTCGAAGTCGAGAGTGAGGACAAAGAGCCATAATGATTTCCATCTTTTAGATAGGATGCTTGTGGTTGCAGCATGTTTGGTTGGAAGAAAAGAAAGAATGTGACAAAGAATTGAATCGTGAAACTCACTTAATCTATCTTCCATTAACTCTCTTCTCGATACCACCATAGTAGGGGAGATCAAATGCCATTATTACTTTAATGCTATGGAGAATAGGGTTTGTACTCAGTATATTATAATTTTAGGGTTTTAAATAAATATTATTTAGGGTTTTGTTGTATCCGCAAATTAGTACAGAATAATAACATATGTTTAATATTTAAAAGATAACACAGGGAGAACTAAAAGAAGGAAAAAGTATATATTTTTTCTTTTCGTGCTAAAAAAAAGCGAGCATCGATAGCTTTATCTTTTAATGACTGAATAATATATATTACACATCTTATCTCATTAAATTCGGTGACTACATGAATAAACTTTTGGCTAAATTTTTTTTAATAATATTTTAATATTTCAATTATTATTATTTGATTATATATATTTTAATTAGCTGTCGGCTAAAGTGAAGATGATACTGTTAGATATAATCTATAATTCATATTTAATAGAAATAAATCATAACACCTTGATATTTTCTCACTCCTAATTATATAGTTCGATATCTCATCCCTTCTGTTTGAATGTTTCCCTCTGTTGGTAACGTGCAGGTAATCAAGAAGGATAGTTGTTACCTCGTTAGTTCGAGTCGGTGTTGTCACTCTGATACGTAGCACTCAGGGGGATGAACGCTTGATGTTTAGTTGTTGATTATTATATCAGTTGCTAAATTTTTTAAAGTTGATTACATGAAATAATTGTTGTCTTGAAGTTGTTTTATTTGAATGAAAGATGTGAATAAATTAAATCTAAGTGTGTGATTCCGCTACTTATTAATAAAAAGTTGTTTGACGTTAAAGAATAAATCAAGTTGTTATCGATTCATCCAAGTTAATTATTATGTATCTGTTCTATATGTCGTTAAATGAAGTTTGATTCTAGGTTGAAAATGTAGCATCCTATTTATTTTGAATTCTGATTTTATCATTATCCGTCGGGTAGAAATGGGGTGTTACAGAAACCCACATCAGAAGAGAAATTCTGAGCATCAGAATTCTCAACACACATAGACACTAGATGTTGGAACATCTTCTAAGACATCCTTATCCTGCACATATAACTACATCAGTAATAGCAGCATAAGCACACACACTCTGGCGGTAGTATGAAACATCATGGTCCCCCAAAATAGTTGCAAGAAGCAACCACAATTAACACAACACTTTAATCCCTCTTTTTAGCCAAAATCTTGACAAAAAATCACAGTAAATTTACACATAGCATACAAAAATATGGAATCACAAGTTGCAAAAGGCACATATTGCACACAGTTTATAAACCAAACACGGAAGCACAAATGGAAACAAAACCTAAACACTGATGGAAACAAATAATTAACAAGCATCAAATGGAAGCAAACAAGATTTAGAACCTAAGGTTCCTCAAAAATGCAGACACCAAGGTCACCCCTAAGCTTTTCAAATTGACTTGCATCTAAAGCTTTGGTGAAAATATCAGCCAGTTGTTTTTTAGTGGCTATATGCTCCAGAGTGATCACTTTATCTTCATAAAGGTCTCTGATAAAATGATGACGGATGCCAATGTGCTTAGTCCTGCTATGCTGAATAGGATTTTTAGAAATATTGATAGCACTAAGTTTGTTGTAGTATAATGTCATAACAACTTGATTGACATTATATTTATTCAACATTTGTTTCATCCATACCAAATGCGAGCAGCTACTCCTAGCTACAATAAACTTAGCTTCAACTATAGATAAAGACACAAAATTTTGTTTTTTACTAAACCAAGAAATCTAGTTAGTTCCTAAGAAGAAACAACCTCCCGAGGTACTTTTCTACTGTTTGCACTTCCTGCTCAATTTGCATCACAGTACCATACTAGCATGGAATTCAATCCGTGAGAGTATAACATGCCATAGTCACGTGTACCATTGATGTACTTAAAAATCCTCTTTACTTTGTTGAGGTGACTAGTCTTTAGTTTGTCTATTATTTGATTATATATATTTTAATTAGCTGTCGGCTAAAGTGAAGATTATACTGTTAGATATAATCTATAATTCATATTTAATAGAAATAAATCATAACACCTAGATATTTTCTCACTCCATATTGTTAGAATTAATTTAGATTTTATAAAATGTATTTGGCAAATTGGAGCTCATTTTTGGTGCCTTTACAATATGCAAGGCAACATGTTCTTAGTTGCGATGAAAGACATTTTGGAACTATTGGTGGATCCTCCCAACTTTTATCCTTTAACTCGTCTTGATATTCAATACCATATCAAAACAATCATGCAACTTTTTATTTTAATCATTAAAATACATGAAATTATACTTCAAAAAGAAGAAAAAAAGTTGAGACATGAACAAAACCTGTATGATTAAACTTTGTAGTTTGTGGCATCGTTCAAGCATTTGTGGCAACCAATCCCACATATTACCCAAAATTTTAAATTCCACATGTGTAAGATTATGAAACATGGGAAGTTTAGTACAATATGTCAATGGTGTAAGGTTATGAAACATGGAAAGTTTAGTACAATATATCAATGATACCTGCATGAAATACACAACACAATATATTACAAGTGTATATAACCAAGGATTCTTATTTATTTGTCTTTTATATGACTAATATGTAATTACTAAAACATGGTTTTAAAATGCAGCCTGCAAGCGAAATTGCAGCGGTAATATTGCGGTTGATGTAGTCTCCGCAACCACAATTACTTTGTGATTTAAGATCATGGGTCCGACTCCATTAGAATGCACAAGACCCAATCCCAAAACTCAATTTACTTTTTTGATGTAACGGAAAATCGTAACATTTAGGCTATATTTGGATTAATAAAATAGAATGGAGCTAAATAAAATGTGATGGAGTGGAGTTCCATTCCATTGTATATTTTTTATAATTTGACCAAACGAAATAAAACAAATTAGTGTTTTTCAACTATGTATTTCAAAGATCTCCCAAACAAAATTCAAAACACAACTCTTACGACCACGTCCACAATGCCAATTTAAAACTATGGACTAAAGTTAAAAAACCAAAACTTTATATAAACATAAAATATATATTTAAACCCGACTATATATTTAGGAACAAGATACATTCATACCTGTTTCATACATAGACTCTCCATATTACGAACCAAATTAACCGGAATAATAGAGTTGTCAAAAGAAATCTTTGCTTTGATTAAACTAGGTAACAAGCCGTCAAACTCTTTCTCTGAAACAAGTGAATCCTTATAATGTACACATAAATATTTGGTTTGCAACTCCTCAAGTGTAGCACAGCCTGACAGAAGTTTTACAAGTAATTCATGACGTTCGAATCTCATTTCCTTTAAATGAAGAATTTTAAGAACCGGAAAATCCACTTGATGAGAAAAACTATTCACTATTGCCCCAATCAACTTAAGAACCTTAAGGGTCTTGCAACTAAGAATACTAGGTGGTAATATGATATTATTTTTAATGTTAAGATTCTCGATTCCTCTATTCGTTAGATAGGAAACAAATAGAGTAACATCAGATTTGCTGCAAACACAAAAACGGTGGGTGCAATTGAAACGAAAGGAAAGGATCGGAAGTCCGATATTTCGTAAGAGCATGAACTTGTGTACAGAATAATCAAAGGCGGCCATGTCTTTGAAGGATTTGCAGTCGAAGTCGAGAGTGAGGACAGAGAGCCATAGTGATTTCCATCTCTTAGATAGGATGCTTGTGGTTGCAGCATGTTTGGTTGGAAGAAAAGAAAGAATGTGACAAAGAATTGAATCGTGAAACTCACTTAATCTATCTTCCATTAACTCTCTTCTCGATACCACCATAGTAGGGGAGATCAAATGCCGTTATTACTTCAATGCTATGGAGAATAGGGTTTGTACTCAGTATATTATAATTTTAGGGTTTTAAATAAATATTATTTAGGGTTTTGTTGTATCCGCAAATTAGTACAGAATAATAACATATATTTAATATTTAAAAGATAACACAGGGAGAACTAAAAGAAGGAAAAAGTATATATTTTTTCTTTTCGTGCTAAAAAAAAGCGAGCATCGATAGCTTTATTTTTTAATGACTGAATAATATATATTACACATCTTATCTCATTAAATTTGGTGACTACATGAATAAACTTTTGGATAAATTTTTTTTTATAATATTTTAATATTTCAATAATTATTATTTGATTATATATTTTTTAATTAGCTGTCGGCTAAAGTGAAGATTATAGTGTTAGATATAATCTATAATTCATATTTAATAGAAATAAATCATAACACCTAGATATTTTCTCACTCCATATTGTTAGAATTAATTTAGATTTTATAAAATGTATTTGGCAAATTGGAGCTCATTTTTGGTGCCTTTACAATATGCAAGCCAACATGTTCTTAGTTGCGATGAAAGACATTTTGGAACTATTGGTGGATCCTCCCAACTTTTATCCTTTAACTCGTCTTGATATTCAATACCATATCAAAACAATCATGCAACTTTTTATTTTAATCATTAAAATACATGAAATTATACTTCAAAAAGAAGAAAAAAAGTTGAGACATGAACAAAACCTGTATGATTAAACTTTGTAGTTTGTGGCATCGTTCAAGCATTTGTGGCAACCAATCCCACATATTACCCAAAATTTTAAATTCCACATGTGTAAGATTATGAAACATGGGAAGTTTAGTACAATATGTCAATGGTGTAAGGTTATGAAACATGGAAAGTTTAGTACAATATATCAATGATACCTGCATGAAATACACAACACAATATATTACAAGTGTATATAACCAAGGATTCTTATTTATTTGTCTTTTATATGACTAATATGTAATTACTAAAACATGGTTTTAAAATGCAGCCTGCAAGCGAAATTGCAGCGGTAATATTGCGGTTGATGTAGTCTCCGCAACCACAATTACTTTGTGATTTAAGATCATGGGTCCGACTCCATTAGAATGCACAAGACCCAATCCCAAAACTCAATTTACTTTTTTGATGTAACGGAAAATCGTAACATTTAGGCTATATTTGGATTAATAAAATAGAATGGAGCTAAATAAAATGTGATGGAGTGGAGTTCCATTCCATTGTATATTTTTTATAATTTGACCAAACGAAATAAAACAAATTAGTGTTTTTCAACTATGTATTTCAAAGATCTCCCAAACAAAATTCAAAACACAACTCTTACGACCACGTCCACAATGCCAATTTAAAACTATGGACTAAAGTTAAAAAACCAAAACTTTATATAAACATAAAATATATATTTAAACCCGACTATATATTTAGGAACAAGATACATTCATACCTGTTTCATACATAGACTCTCCACATTACGAACCAAATTAACCGGAATAATAGAGTTGTCAAAAGAAATATTTGCTTTGATTAAACTAGGTAACAAGCCGTCAAACTCTTTCTCTGAAACAAGTGAATCCTTATAATGTACACATAAATATTTGGTTTGCAACTCCTCAAGTGTAGCACAGCCTGACAGAAGTTTTACAAGTAATTCATGACGTTCGAATCTCATTTCCTTTAAATGAAGAATTTTAAGAACCGGAAAATCCACTTGATGAGAAAAACTATTCACTATTGCCCCAATCAACTTAAGAACCTTAAGGGTCTTGCAACTAAGAATACTAGGTGGTAATATGATATTATTTTTAATGTTAAGATTCTCGATTCCTCTATTCGTTAGATAGGAAACAAATAGAGTAACATCAGATTTGCTGCAAAAACAAAAACGGTGGGTGCAATTGAAACGAAAGGAAAGGATCGGAAGTCCGATATTTCGTAAGAGCATGAACTTTTGTACAGAATAATCAAAGGCGGCCATGTCTTTGAAGGATTTGCAGTCGAAGTCGAGAGTGAGGACAGAGAGCCATAGTGATTTCCATCTCTTAGATAGGATGCTTGTGGTTGCAGCATGTTTGGTTGGAAGAAAAGAAAGAATGTGACAAAGAATTGAATCGTGAAACTCACTTAATCTATCTTCCATTAACTCTCTTCTCGATACCACCATAGTAGGGGAGATCAAATGCCGTTATTACTTCAATGCTATGGAGAATAGGGTTTGTACTCAGTATATTATGATTTTAGGGTTTTAAATAAATATTATTTAGGGTTTTGTTGTATCCGCAAATTAGTACAGAATAATAACATATATTTAATATTTAAAAGATAACACAGGGAGAACTAAAAGAAGGAAAAAGTATATATTTTTTCTTTTCGTGCTAAAAAAAAGCGAGCATCGATAGCTTTATTTTTTAATGACTGAATAATATATATTACACATCTTATCTCATTAAATTCGGTGACTACATGAATAAACTTTTGGATAAATTTTTTTTTATAATATTTTAATATTTCAATAATTATTATTTGATTATATATTTTTTAATTAGCTGTCGGCTAAAGTGAAGATTATACTGTTAGATATAATCTATAATTCATATTTAATAGAAATAAATCATAACACCTAGATATTTTCTCACTCCTAATTATATAGTTCGATATCTCATCCCTTCTGTTTGAATGTTTCCCTCTGTTGGTAACGTGCAGGTAATCAAGAAGGATAGTTGTTACCTCGTTAGTTCGAGTCGGTGTTGTCGCTCTGATACGTAGCACTCGGGGGGATGAACGCTTGATGTTTAGTTGTTGATTATTATTTCAGTTGCTGAATTTTTTAAAGTTGATTACTTGAAATAATTGTTGTCTTGAAGTTGTTTTATTTGAATGAAAGATGTGAATAAATTAAAGCTAAGTGTGTGATTCCGCTACTTATTAATAAAAAGTTGTTTGATGTTAAAGAATAAATCAAGTTGTTATCGATTCATCCAAGTTAATTGTTATGTATCTGTTCTATATGTCGCTAAATGAAGTTTGATTCTAGGTTGAAAATGTAGCATCCTATTTATTTTGAACTCTGATTTTATCATTATCCGTCGGGTAGAAATGGGGTGTTACAGAAACCCACATCAGAAGAGAAATTATGAGCATCAGAATTCTCAACACACATAGACACTAGATGTTGGAACATCTTCTAAGACATCCTTATCCTGCACATATAACTACATCAGTAATAGCAGCATAAGCACACACACTCTGGCGGTAGTATGAAATATCATGGTCCCCCAAAATAGTTGCAAGAAGCAACCACAATTAACACAACACTTTAATCCCTCTTTTTAGCCAAAATCTTGACAAAAAATCACAGTAAATTTACACATAGCATACAAAAATATGGAATCACAAGTTGCAAAAGGCACATATTGCACACAGTTTATATACCAAACATGGAAGCACAAATGGAAACAAAACCTAAACACTGATGGAAACAAATAATTAACAAGCATCAAATGGAAGCACACAAGATTTAGAACCTAAGGTTCCTCAAAAATGCAGACACCAAGGTCACCCCTAAGCTTTTCAAATTGACTTGCATCTAAAGCTTTGGTGAAAATATCAGCCAGTTGTTTTTTAGTGGCTATATGCTCCAGAGTGATCACTTTATCTTCATAAAGGTCTCTGATAAAATGATGACGGATGCCAATGTGCTTAGTCCTGCTATGCTGAATAGGATTTTTAGAAATATTGATAGCACTAAGTTTGTTGTAGTATAATGTCATAACAACTTGATTGACATTATATTTATTCAACATTTGTTTCATCCATACCAAATGCGAGCAGCTACTCCTAGCTGCAATAAACTTAGCTTCGACTATAGATAAAGACACAAAATTTGGTTTTTTACTAAACCAAGAAATCTAGTTAGTTCCTAAGAAGAAACAACCTCCAGAGGTACTTTTCTACTGTTTTCACTTCCTGCTCAATTTGCATCACAGTACTATACTAGCATGGAATTCAATTCATGAGAGTTTAACATGCCATAGTCACGTGTACCATTGATGTACTTAAAAATCCTCTTTACTTTGTTGAGGTGACTAGTCTTTAGTTTGTCTTTATATCTTGCACAAACCCCAATAACAAAGGTGATATCAGGTCTGTTAGTTGTAAGATATAACACGCTACTAATCATGCTTATGTACGAGCTTTGATCAACAACAACACCTTTGTCATCTTTTGTCAATTTCAAATGTGTAGGTGCAGGTGTCCTTTTGTGACTAGCATTTTCCATTCCAAACTTCTTGACTATATTTTTTGCATACTTACTTTGATAAATCAAGATAGAATCATCCATTTGTTTGGCTTAAAGTCCAAGAAAATACGTTAATTCACCAACCAGACTCATCTCAAATTCTGATAGCATTTGTTCGACAAAATGTTAGACCATCTGATTCGACATTCCTCCAAACACTATGTCATCAACATAAATTTGAGCTATTATGAGTTTCCATCTTTCTCCCTAACAAAAAGGTCTTATTTATTCCTCATTTTATGTATCCATTGTTGACCACAAACTCTGTCAGCCTTTTATACCAAGCCCTAGGAGCTTGCTTTAGTCCATAAAGGGCCTTCTTCAGCTTGAACACATTATATGGATAGGTAGGATCAACAAACCCCTTTGGTTGTTCAACATACACCTCTTCATGCAGATACCCATTTAGAAAGGCACTTTTTACATCAATTTGAAACAATTTAAACTTCAATAAGTAGGCTACTCCTAATAGTAGCCTGATTGTTTCAAGCCTAGCTACTGAAGCAAAGGTTTCATCAAAGTCTATCCCTTCAACCCGAGTGTAGCCCAGTGCTGCAAGTCTTGTTTATTCCTGGTGACCACTCCACTTTCATCAGTTTTATTCTTGTATACCACCTTGTTCCAATGACATTTTTCCCATCAGGTCTTGGAACCAAATCCCAAACTTCATTCCTCTTGAACTTATTCAGTTTGTCTTACATGGCATTGATCCATAACTCATCAGTTAATGTTTCCTTCACATTATTGGTTTCAATCTTTGAGACAAAGCAAGAGTTAGAAGTTATTTCCCTTGATCTAGTAGTGACCCCTTAATTAGGATTATCTATAATGAGTTCTTTGGGGTGATCTTTATGTATTCTTATAGAAGGACCCTTATTGACTTGATTAATAAATGGTTGAATATTAGAATCCTCGGTATCTACACAGTCTTTCTCCACATCTTCAGACTCATTATCCATCTGGAATGATGTTCCAACATTGTCTTCAGCTTCAAGCACACTTTCTATGGTTTAATCATCAATTACAACATTTATAGATTCCATCATGACTTGATTTCTATTGTTGAACACTCTGTAGGCTCTACTGTTTCTAGAGTAACCCAAAAATATGTCTTCATCACTCTTAGGATCCATCTTTATGTTGCTCACGATCAGCCAAAATATAGCATTTACTGCCAAACACATGAAAGTATTTGGTTGTAGGTTTCCTTCCTTTCCACAACAGATATAAAGTATTTGAGGTACCAGTCCTTAAAGTGTAATCTCAAGCCTCAACTCAACTTTAGTTTTGATGAAAGACAAACAAGCACTATGACAAGAAGGAAAAGAAGTGGAATTAGCATAAAGCATCATTCACTCAAAGTTTCAAGGATCATGGAAAGCAAACAAGTATATCAATTCTCATTTGAACTAAATTGATTAGAAATGCTCAAAAATGATATACACTCTTACCATAACACTTCACTTAAAGTTTAAAACAAATTCTAATTTTTTCACTAATGTAAATCGATTAACACAACATGTAAATCGATTTACACATGTTTTTTCAAAAACTAATTACCCCTGGCAGCAATCGATTTACATGGAGTGTAAATCGATTGATTACTGAACTGAGTTAATTTTTAACACTAGTAAATCGATTAACACATCATGTAAATCGATTTACACTTCAAATTTTTTGAAAACAAGAACGTTACAAACTCGTGCAATCGATTTACATCTAATGCTAATCGATTTACACGTTGTAATTTTTGAAAAATCTGAACTTGATTCAAGATATCCTTCACACCTTTTCTCCAACAGTTGCATGGTCATACATTGCATCTTCTCAAGTTTTACAAACAGAAAAGTATCCATTTGGAAAGGTATCATGATTGCTTTAAATACTAAATCTTTCAAATTATAAAACAACTCTTCTCTTATGCAATAATTCGAACTTTGTAAAATATTCAAACTTCATATTTCTTAAATTTTAAGAACAAAGATTTTCTACACTTTCACACATATAAGAACAGAAATCTTTGAGCATTTTCTAACCATTGTGTTACAGTTTGAATTGCTTACAAGAGAAGAAAGAAGAAACTTCATTGAAGTCACTCTATGTGATCAACATCTTTCAAGAAATCATATTTCATAGAATTATACTAAAGTGTAACTTATTTCTAGGATTGTTGGAATTAAGTATTAGAATACTTTTGTACCTTGTTGTCCATTGTTGGAAACAAGAGGTATCTTTTGAGAGGATTGTTCTCAAGAGACTTATTGGAAATCCAAGAGGGTGTTCTTGGTATTTGTTAGTGTCTTTAGTTGATAAGACTAGGAAGAGTCTTGTAAAAGTTCTAACAAAATAGTGAAATCTCTTGCGTGTTTGCAAGAGGACTAGACGTATTTCCAGGGTGTGGAAGGAACCAGGATAAATCTCTGTGTCTCTTTACTTTCTGCACTTTACCATTTTCCATAGCACTAAAACAAAACCAGAAAGTGTAAAATAAATCAAAAATCGACCACCACCTAATTCACCCCCCCTCTTAGGCGCAATCTTAAACTTACAATTGGTATCAGAGCAGGTTATAGTTAACCTGCTCCTAGAGATCCAGAATTGCTTCTGCAAATCATCAACTCGTTTTCAGAGATGGTGGTAGTAACAACAAGCCTCCTCTATTCTGTGTTGAATATTTTGACTTCTGGAAAATACGCATGAAGGCGCATCTAGAAGCGCAAGGAGAAGAAATATGGGATGCCGTTGAAAATGGTCCATTTATCCCGGTAACGGTAATCAATGGCGTTAGCTCTTCAAAGCCTAAAACTGCATGGGACGACGATGATAAAAAGAAAGTTCTCTATGACAAAAAGGCAATAAACCTT